AGTAGGTTCTATTTTTTATGAATAAATACAATTTATTTTTTAAATTAAATCCTGATATAATGCTGTTTATAACCTGCTTCTTCATGAGGATTCCCATTCTGCTTATTTTTCTACAATGTCATTTTTAAACAATTACACCTGTTCCACAAAATGAACAGACTACAGTTAATTTATGCATTCTCCAATTATTGACATTTAGGTTGACATAATTTTTTACCATTATAATGAAAACAGTGACAAACATTCTTGTCAATAATTTTATGCATGTTTAGTTTCTAAGAATAAATTCCTAAAAGCAATATTGCTGAATCAAAGTGTATGCATTTCTTCAAGTCTTTCACTGTGTTACCAAATTGCATTTCACAAATTTTTATAGCAATGTATGCCTCCACCAGTATATTTGGGAATACATCTTTCCTTGCAACTTTTTTTTTTTTCTTTTTGAGACAAAGTCTCGCTCTGTATCCAGTCTGAAGTGCAGTGGCACAATCTTGGCTCACTGCAACCTCTGCATCTTGGGTTCAAGCAATTCTCCTGCCTCAGCCTCCTGAGTATCTGGAACTACAGGCGCATGCCACCACGCCCAGCTAATTTTGTATTTCTAGTAGAGACAGGGTTTCACCATGTTGGCCAGGATGATCTCAATCTCGACCTCGTGAACTGCCTGCCTAGACCTCCCAAAGTGCTGGGATTACAGGCATGAGCCACCACGTCCGGCCGTTCCTTGCAACTTAAATAACACAGGAATTATCATTTTTCTATTGCTATTAGTTTACAAACAGAAAATAGTATCCCATTTGTTTAATTTTATGTTTATTTGAATATTAACAAAATTTAACTTGGATATATTTGTTTGCTTTTGCATGTTTCTTTTTTGAATTTCCATTATTTGTTTTTCTGATATTTTTTATCCGAATTGTAAAAGTTCACTTGCTATTCAATTTGCTTATTGTGTTTTTGCCTAGAAAATGTTAAAATTTTTATTCTGTTGCATTATCAACATTATTTTGACTCTGCCCTTTGCTCATTTGGTTATAAATGTTTATCTAACCTGAAATCTGAGTAACATTCATCTACACTATCTTCTAGTTTTCTTTTACTTTTTAAAATATTTTAAACCAAATTCTGTTAGAAATAAATTTTGAAACATTTAATCTTTGTAAATTTTTTGTGAAGATCCATAATGTTTATACATTAGAGAGTTAATTTCAAAAACGATTCCCTCATTGTCCTAATGCTATATTGGGAAATTGATACTTTCTAATTGATTTGAAATAGTAAAAATATTTAAAACACTTCACACTGAATGGGTACTCTGTGCCTGGATTGTTCTAAATACTTTCACAGAATAATTTGTTCAAGTCTCACAACAACCTGAGAAGGTAGGTAAGTGTATTTTCAGTTCTATTTCACAGATAATGAAACTCATGCATATAGTAGACAGAGACAATATATTATAATAAAGTGATGAAGGCAAGAGACCCTGGAGCCAGTCTTCTAATGCTTAAATTCCCATTCCAACACTTACTATCTGTGTAATCTTGGGCAAGATAATTAACCTCTCTGTGCATCCATTTCTTCATCTATAAAATAGTTTAAAAAGGCCCTTTATAGAGGGCCATTATGAAATGACTTAATAAATGTAAAGTGCATAGCGTAATGTCTGACCCAGTAAGTGCAATAGAACAGCTAGCCATTATTACTGAGTCTGCCTACTCAGTTATTTGGGATCTCTAGTGCTCCACAAGTACCATTTTAAGACATGATAATATATAACATATTTTATAACATAATTATTTGTTACATATCTTAATGTCATGTGATACTAGTTTCACTCTGTTGTTTCACTCTTTTCAATATACTTTTGTATTTTTACTTGTTTGTTCTTCTAGGGATTTTGATAGGATTTGCATGGAATCCATACATTATTTCAGAGTCAATTAACATCAAAATATTGAGTTTTCCACCCAGGCACCGATGTGTAAAATTCAGTTGTTTTCTTCAAATCATCCTACTTGTTATTTATTGTTTCTTCACTGGTGTGTTATTTATCATTTATTCATTCATTCACTTTGGTTGTTTCTGGGGAGAAAGACATTTTCTAACAGTATCATTGATTTAAAAAAGAAAGAATATCCTGCGATTCAAAGCATAAATTACATAATGGCTTTAATGATTTTACTTTGATTTCAATGATACAAATAGACATGTATTCCTCAACCTTTTGATATAGGGTCAAATGCCTTACACTGAGTTTGTATTACCTGAAGTCAAAACCTTTCTTGCCTGGATCATGTATTAATTCCAGTTTTAGTGCTTTTATTAACATGAAGTGAAAAATTAGACTCAAATCAAATATAAATATAAAATTATTCAAGATGTTATTACTTTCCCTCCTAGCCTTTTATAATGGTCTGGCGCACACCTTACTCTACCACAATTATTAGCAACTTGTAATTATCAAGTATTTCTCAAGCATTTAAGTATTAATATTTATTAAATATATTTATATTCACAATAACACTATTGGATTTTGTAATATTTAATAAAATTACATAAGTACAAAAATAAATGCACATGATATAAGCAGGCTGTGCAAAATCCAACCACTTATGTACCTGCAAGTCAACTTTGGGTGTAGGAATGTTTAGATATAGTAGAGAGCAAGCTCAGATCTCTTGTGTTCAAAGTGTCATATTTAGCATATAGCATGTTGTACAGAGGAATGAGGAGTATTGGTTCATCAGATACATCAGTTAAGTGAAGATTAGTTAAAAGACTCTCTATTACATTTCATTTGGAACTAAACACCATGAAGAATATTTTATTTGTCATAACTTCTTCAATTTATTCTGCTGTGTTTTCAGTAACCAAATCTATATGTTTTTAAATTTTATTGCATTGGTTAAGTTCTAAAGTACAATGCTAAACAAAAGTGATGTTAGCCTTTCTATATCACTATATTTATACTTCACTGAATTTTTTTCATTTGTGAATGTGAGACTGTCTCTTCTAGAACATAAGCCCCATTTAGATTTATTTTCATAAATATTTACTTTTCTCAGTTTAACCTATTTTATTTTTTAAGCTTGCTCACATTTTCTTTTGTCCCAGCCTTTTAGTTTTTGCATTTTATATTCTTGGTAACATCTAATTAACCAGATATTTACTGTATTGACTTTACTATGTTGGGTTTCTTAACCTGGGGAACATGTACTTGAGTGGTTAAAAATTATTCCTTTATTCTTTTGTTCTCTATACTATATTTACTTTTTTAAAATCTTCTGATCATTTGGAGTGCATAGGCTGGTTTTTATTCTATTGATTATTGTTCGGGAATATGTTTGAAATATGTGTTTGGATATATATGGTTATGACTAATTTCTCTAATTAATCACATTAAACAAAATATTTATTGAATCTTTTTGTACATAGGTTTAGGATATTAGCATATTTTCATTTCTCCCATCCCTCCCTATCAATATTTCTATTATATAAATAGTGGTTGTAAATATATATAATTATTTTAGTCTTTGCATTTTATATTATGCACATCATTAAAAATTATTCTTAGCAATTCTTTTTTGCTTTTACAAATATTTTCACTATTTAATATCAAATATATATTGTATTATTTGCTTTTTCAAAACATATTATTTTACATTACAACTTGCCCAATCTTAAAGTATATAGTCTGATTAATCTGATTACCCATGCAGCAACTCATAGTCTTTCTTGAGGAATTTTTTAAATTGTATTTAGGATGAACTAGTTCCTAAGCCTTTGCAAATCTGAGAAAGTCTTTATGTTGCTTTAGTACATAAATCACTAAGGCTTTGGTAAAGAATTCTTCCACCCCAATTTTTTTTAAAACTCTGTAGATATTTTGTATTGTCTCTTAAATTTTTGTATTAAAATAAAGTTGTAGTCTAACCTGAAAGTGCTTAATTCATAGTAAGTTTAACTTCCCAGATGCTTACACATCTCTTATTCTCTTGATTATGTTATTGCATAATTCAATTGTGCTATTGCATTTTTAGTTTCCTCATTGTCTTTTCTTATCTCAGGAAGCTCCACTTTAACCTGACTCTGTTCACTTCCCTTTTATGTGAATCTATTTGGGTCCAAAAGTTTAGCTTCTTGTTAGAAATTTAGATAAAATGTTCAAAAGAGTGGAAATATATGAAGAGCACATATGAGAAAAGATTGTAACAAAGGGTGTTTTCCTAGGTGTAGGTGGAGTCAAAATAACTGAATGTAAAGTGAGTAACTTACAGTATAGCCATAAAGCAATGGAAAGAACAAAGGATTGCTTCAGAACAAGAATAACATCTGCAGACATAATGTTGAAGCCAGCTACAACAAAGTACATGCTTTATCATTTCATATATAAGTTGAAATATAGTTACATCAATCTGCAATGATAAAAGTCAAAAAGTGGTTGCTTTTGTGAGGCATAAAGACTAAGAAGAGACATGAAGGATGTTTGTAGGTCGCTGGAATTATTCTATTTCTTAATCTTTGTAGTGGTAATACTCGCATATTTACAATGTTAAAATAAATAAACAAATCAAGCTGCACATTTAGGATTTATGAATTCCTCCACATGTCCGTTATATTTCAATGAGAATGCTTACCAAAAAAAGTAAACAACAAATTCATTTATCTAATTTTAAATATGTGCAACCTTACAATTCTTCACTGTAATTAAATACAAGAAAATAATTAGGTCTTGTCAATTGGATTGAAAATACCAGAGGGCATGGGGGGGAGACATTTCACAAGGAACATCTACATGTGTCTATATGTCTTGCCCCCAGGAGCTTCTTCAGATGACCATCTATCCCATTCATGAAGATTTCCAAGAAAAAGTATACCAAATCCTCTATCGTGAATTCATTCGCATGTACTGTGATTGGAAACTAGCTACTAAAAAGGTAATTCCAAATAAAATTTACACTCCTGCTTTTATTCAAGCAATAAAGCAACTCAATCAAGAAGAGCTCAGGGCTTCCTAACCTTTTGCACAAGACATGCTTGTGCAGAAACCTGTCTTCAACCAGTCTGACCCCACGGAGTTTGTGTTCCGTGTGTTCACCACAGTCCCTGAATTCCAGGTTCTTCTCTTCCTTCTCTTCTTCCTCCTCTACTTGATAATCCTCTGTGGCAACACAGCCATCATCTGCGTGGTGTGCACACACAGCACCCTCCGCACCCCGATGTATTTTTTCCTGGCCAACCTGTCTTTCCTAGAAATCTGCTACACCACCGTGGTGGTGCCCTTAATGCTTTCCAACATTTTTGGGGCCCAGAAACCTATTTCGTTAGCTGGATGTGGGACCCAAATGTTCTTCTTTGTCACCCTCGGCAGCACGGACTGTTTCCTCTTGGCGATCATGGCCTATGACCGCTATGTGGCCATCTGCCACCCGCTGCACTACACCCTCATCATGACCCGCCAGCTGTGCGCGCAGATGCTGGGCGGGGCCGTGGGCCTGGCCCTCTTCCTCTCCTTGCAGCTCACCGCCTTAATCTTCACCCTGCCCTTCTGCGGCCACCGCCGGGAAATCAACCACTTCCTCTGCGATGTCCCCCCCGTCCTGCGCCTGGCCTGCGCTGACATCCGTGTGCACCAGGCTGTCCTCTATGTAGTGGGCATCCTCGTACTGACAGTCCCCTTTCTGCTCATCTGTGTCTCCTATGTGTTCATCACCTGCGCCATCCTGAGCATCAGTTCTGCGGAGGGCCGCCGCCGGGCCTTCTCCACCTGCTCCTCCCACCTCACTGTGGTCCTGCTGCAGTATGGCTGCTGCAGCCTCGTGTACCTGCGTCCCCAGTCCAGCACCTCAGAGGATGAGGAGAGCCAAATTGCGTTGGTCTACACCTTTGTCACCCCCTTACTCAACCCTTTGATTTACACCCTTAGGAACAAGGATGTCAAAGGTGCCCTGAGGAATGCCATCATCTATAAAGCAGCTTCTGATGCCAGTTGAAGCCTTAGGGGCGCTGGGCTGGGTGTCCATCTGTTGCTGTGTCAGTGAACTCCAAATGACATAGAACTGTAGTATTTACGTTCCCACACTTTGCACTTGATGTTTCCTTTTTGCCATATTTGCCCCAAATTCACAATTCGTGCTCATTTTTCTGAAGTGCTTTGACTAAGATATGAAAATTTTGGGCAGAAGTTACAGTGTAGGAATGCTAGTTTACTTAAATCTACTTAAAGTAGATTTAAGCATTTGCCCTCACCCATGTCAATTGCCGTGTTAGGAACACCCCATACATACTGTGAATAAAGGCTGATAAACAAAGGTGCCTTAAGTAAGGAATATTCATAAAGACATATTTTACTCAAATAAATACATTTTATTATTCTTTTGGGTATCAGCATATGGCAAACAATAGCTCACTTAATGCACTAATTTCCTTTGCACCATACATCCCAACTGGTTGCTTTCATTTTCTTTCATTCATGCCAGGGAGGTGACAGGAATTTTCTTTCATTGATTAATCACCTACTATGTGCCAGCCCTACTAGTCTATGGAGAATTACATCTGGTCGATGCCAGCCCTGCCTGCACAGGCCCTCTGTGCTAGTGGCTCTCACACTAGTCTTTGTTGTTGCTTCCTCACCACCTCCTACATCTTCATGAGGGCTGCTGCTCACAGATCCACTGAGCAGATAGCACTACTATGGCACTACGCCTACCTCAGCATAGTTTTGTAGCAGGATAGCTGTTATCTCTTCAAGTACTTGCATCCCAACCTCAAATAAACCCTCAAGTAAAATCCACTTCCCTTTATGATATTCACAGTGGACACCAAACAACTTAACCTTCTCATTTACACCCTGAGAAACAGCCAGGCACAGAGAGCTCCATGGACAGTTCTTACCAGGAATTACCTCTCCCAGAACAGGTAGGGAAGGGTAGAATCTATCAGGTGAGAGTCTGGATCCAGATCGTAAGCTGATTTTAGTTAGCAACTACAGGAAGAGAGTGAGGATATCTGCTAGTGGGTATTAAACAGACCTAAGAAATTGTTATAACCTTTTTGAATGCTATATGTTTATGTCTATGAAAAACCTTCAAAAGTTTCTATTCTTTAATTTCAGAATTCTTATTCCAAAAATATAACCCCAGAAAATTAACAGAATGTCAAACAAAACAAAATATAAGTGAGTTTATTACATTTATAAAATGAAAGTGATTAAAATCTAATTTCCAACGATATTGGAAACGGAAACATAGCATACTAAAATCATTAATATTTAGTAATAAAGGGCAATGTTTATCGTTATACCTGTAAGTGATAAAATCAAGACTAAAGCTTGTATTTGCAATAAGAGTTCAATTTTATAAAAATATATACATGCATAATGAAGAATACATCAAAAAGTTATCTGTGATTTCTAGAATCATGAATTTTCTAATTTTCATCTTTATTAGTTTAAGTATTTTCTGTTTTCCAAAATAAGACTGTGTTCCTTTTATAATCAGAAGTGTAATTTTGAGAAGGAATATGAGGTTCATGTAGACTTATTTGGCATGTAAACCTCCCATCGTCATAGTTCAGATCCATTTTTTATATTTTTCTAGATTAGGACTATTTTGGGGGGGTACTTCTTTTTCCATTTAAAATGCTTTTGGAACTCCTAATTTTTATCCTGATTTCACATGAGGATAAGGAGAAGAACTACAAGGTGTTATGTATTCTGGGAACAGTCATTGGATTTTACAGTATGTTAGAAATGCCTTGCTTCTATTGGTTTGGCTCTGTGTCCCCACCCAAATCTCATCTCAAATTGTAATCCCCATGTGTCCAAGTATCAGGGGAGGGGAATTAGTGAGAGGTGATTGGATCATGGAGATGGTTTCCTGCATGCTTTTCTCATGAAAGTGTGGGAGTTGTCACACCTCTCTTGCCTGCAGAAATGTAACATGTGCTTTATTTCCCCTTCAGCTTCTGCCATGACTGTAAGTTTCCTGAGGTCTCCCTAGCCATGTGGAACTGTGATTCAATTAAACCTCTTTTGTTTATAAATTACCCAGTCTCAGGTAGTATGTTTATGGCTGCATAAGAATGAACTAATACACCTTCTAAATACAGTAGTTCACCCTTATCCAAAGGGAGTACTTCCAAGATCCCCAGAGGATGCCAGAAACTATAGATAGTATCAAACCCTACACATATTATGTGTTTTTCCTGCACATACATACTTACAATAAATTTAGTTTATAAATTAGCTATAGTAAGAGATTAACAACAGCAACAATAAAACAGAACAATTAAAACAATACACTATAATAAAAGTTATATGAATGTGGTCTCTCTCTCTCTCTTAAAATATCTCATTGTACAGTACTCACTCCTCACTCTTCTTCTCATAATCATGTGAGATGATATAATGCCTATGTGATGCGATGAAATGAGGTGAATGACACAGGCATTATAACATAACATTTGGCTACTATTGGTTTTCTGATGGCCAGAAAAAGAATCATCTTCTTGGGGTGATCTTGGATCATCAAGCTATGATGATGTCCATGGTTGGATTTCAGAAGCATAAAATGTTATACAGTGTGGATACACTGGACAGAGGGACAATTCATATCCTAGGCAGGACAGAGTAAGATGGCAAGAGATTTTGTCATAATACTCAGAATGTCAGGCAATTTTAAACTTACGAATTGTTTATTTCTGGATTTTCTATTTAATATGTTCAGACTGCAGTTGAAACTGGAAAGCAAAACTGCAGATGGAAGGAAGTGGGGAAGACCACCATAAATCCTTGAGAGGAAGAATAAAACTCTCTGGTTAGCAGTTGGCATGTCAACCTGTCCAGGCCAAGTCACATTAGAACATAATGAATCAATTATTTGTGTACATTGTGCTAGGCACTGTCTGGAATGCCAACAAAAGAGAAGTTTGTAACTGAATTTTCATACCTTCTTTCATTCTTTAATGTCACAATTCATTTATAAAATTAACCTGGAACTCAAAAGGAAGACTGTGAAATATTACACTTCAAAAGAGGGTTGCTTAAACTTTTCTAATTGGGTTCTCCCAGTTACCTTCCTATGCATATTCTAAATGAATAGAGCAAATTCCCCTTTCTTATTTTCTTTTTTTAAAATTTTTTAGTTGAAAAGTAAAAATTGTATATACATATATACAATTTTATATATATATGGCATAAAACATAATGTTTTAATATATGTAGACATTGTTAAATGGCTAAATGAAGCTATTTAACATTTAAATTATTTCAGACACATTATTTTTGTGATGAGAATGCTTAAAATCTATTCTCAGCCATTTTCAAATATACAATAAAGTATAATTAACTGTAGTCACCATCATGTACAATAGATCTCTTGAACTTATTCCTCTTGTCTAACTAAAATGTTATGTCATTGGCCAATATCTCTCCAATCCTGTCACCCCAAGCCTCAAGTAACCATCTTCTCACTGTTTCTGTTATTTCAACCTTTTTACATTCCACATATTAGTAATATCCTGCAGTATTTGTCTCTCTGTGAACTGTCTTATTTCAGTTAATGTGATATCCTGCAGGTTCATCCCTGTTGTCACAAATGATGTGATTTTTCCTTCTTTTTTAAGGCTAAGTAATATTTCATTGTGTATATATTTCATTTTCCTTATTCATTATTCTACTGGTGAATAACTTAGGTTAATCTTATGTCATAGCTGTTGTAAAGAAATACTGCAATGCACATGGAAGAGCTCCTTTTTCTTACTGAAAAATTATCCCCTTTATATGAGTCTTTCATTAGAATTATTACATTCTGGAATGAGAATATTGAATGAAATAACAGTACACCACGAGTCAGATGATGGGACAAAAATGTCAGTCAATGATGTTTCCTTGGGAAATGATGATCCCCTCATATCAAGATAGGCTCTAGGTAGCGTAAGCGGTAGACAGAACTTGCAAGAGTAGTTTAGCTTTCCTATCCTGCAGGTTTATTACTTATTTAAAAATTCTGCTCATTTCAAAACCTTTCTCATTCCCTTCATCTATTCATTTGGGTGTATGAATGTGTCCTTAGTGTAAATTGCTTTACAGAGAAGTATTTGCTAAGAAATTAATCTCTCTGTCTACTGACACCCTCTTTCTATGTCTCACTCATTGAAATTTTATTAAAATACATTTATCAGGAAGTGTAATTATTTGAGCATATGTTCCCCACTACTAAACAATAAGCACCTGGAAGCCTGAATACACTAAAAAAGCATGACAGGTATGTTGTGATACTGGATTTCTCCATCTCTGTTCTTATTGTTTAATAGGTGAATGAAGAGCCAGACACAGTGGTGAGAGTAAAGTACAGATGTGAGAATTCCTTCCCAGTGTTTCTCAAAATAATATATTGTATTCCCTTTGAAATCTGGCACAAGACAAGAATGTCCTCTCTCATTATTCCTATTGAATATAGTATTGGGAGCTCTAGCCAGAGTGATCAGGCAAGAAAAAAAATATAAAGGGTATTATATTAGGAAAGGAGGAAGTCAAATTGTCTCTATTTGCAGATGACATGATCGCATATTTAGAAGACCCTGGCATCTCAGCCCAAACCCTCCTTAAGCTGATAAGCAACTTCATCAAAGTCTCAGGATACAAAATCAATGTGCAGATATCACAAGCATTTCTATACACCAATAACAGACAAACAGAGAGCCAAATCAAAAGTGAACTCCAATTTACAATTGCTACAAAGAGAATAAAATACCTAGGAATACAACTAACAAAGGATGTAAAGGACCTCTTCAAGGACGACTACAAACCACTGCTCAAGGAAATAAGAGAGGACACAAACAGATGGAAAAACATCCCATGATCATGGTTGGGAAGAATTTGTGAAAATGGCCATACTGCCCAAAGTAATTTATAGATTCCATGCTATCCCCATCAAGCTACTAATGACCTTCTTCACAGAACTGGGAAAAACCACTTCAAACTTCATATGGAACCAAAAGAGAGCCCACATAGCCAAAAC